GGCCAGAGATTGAACCCAGGGCCTCACACATACCAGGCAAGCACTCTACCACTGAGTCTCATCCCCAGTTTGGCCAATASATTTTTWAAATAAAAGAATATGAAGTTCTCCTGTTTCTGTCACCGTATCACCCTTTATCACTTATTCTCACGTTGGGGGCGTATCCCAAGTCTTAGATGGGTCCTGATTTTGCAAAGGTATTTAAGATGTCCTGCCAACAGGAGTTCCACAGGCCTAACAGCGATTTGAGTCGCTGGATCTCTGCTGACACCGGAGATGGAGAAGGAGATGGAGAGGCTGCAGGAGGGAGACAAAGGACCAGGTATGTGACTTTAGGTTCCCTCTCCAGGCCTATGGTGTGCAAGGTGCTCTAACCCGGGTCTCTTTTCTTAGATTGTGATTGTTTGATGGTACTTATTTGCCTGTTCTGTTTAAAGGTAGGATGCCCATGGCCACCTAAGAAATCTTGGTTCATGAGGTTGACAATGAGCTTAAAATCAACCCTGTTATAACTGGGAATACCAGCTCCTCGGATGCACCACAGACGGACAGTGTTCATACTCAAGGACTACAAATATTAACCTCTTGGCGGTGTTGAAGCAGGYTTTCTCTGATCAGAGATCAGTTTTATAATAGATCATGACCATTTCTTCTCCCTTTTCCTAAAATCTTCCTTTTGCATTGCTTATTCTGATTTTCCCTTGGTGAGGAGGAAATGGGAGGAAGGTCAGGAATGYATGATTGGGAGCATAAATCATCTTACCCAACTAAGCCCTTGCCTTCATTTTCCACCAGGAGATTCTGTTCAGCGACAATCTTTCTTCCACCCTAGCCATTCAGTAGAGACAATTGCAGGGTGTGTCTAGGCCTCACAAATGCTAAGRTCTTTTTTCGTGAACCATTAAACTAGAACTGTCCAGAGCCACAGCACGGAGGACGGGGTCTGGCCCATGGTAGGTGCTGTGGGGATCTGTGCTATTTCCACCCCCCCTTACTTTGTTAACTGCTGAAAACTAACTAGGTGGCATTTTCTTATAAGAAATTTCTCAAAGGGAAGTGTATCTGTAGCCGCTCTCCAAGTTCAATCCCGTTATTTCTGATTTCAGGAGATGTACTGTTCAGTAGTCCCAGGGAAGCCGCTGCTGAATGTCTAAAACCTTCTGAGGACAGAGCCCAGGGTTTTCTTCCCCCCTTCTTTCTGTGGGAGACTGTGAAAGTCCTGCTGATCTCTTTGCTTCTGTTAGCATGACGGATACCTGGATCATTGCACTCTTTGGGAGCACGACTGTAGAAGAGCGGCGGCTTATATATAACTGTGGTCATACATCTTATTTAATAAAAGGATGTGAAACTCTTGGATGTTTCCAGGAAAAGACCACTAGAATGTTTCAGCATTTTTTTTAAAAAAAAATATTTTTTATTTTTTGCCTATTCTACCAAGATCCAATTCAATTACCGTCCTATTTCTACTTCTCAGGTGAAAACTAGCTAATAAAATGAACTCTGGTTAGGAGGATCATAGGTTCAAGGCCAGCCGGGTCCACTTAGCCAGCTCCTGTCTCAAATTAAAATAAGGGCTCGGAGAATAAATCAGTGGGAGAGAATTAGTTTAGCATGCACAGGGCTTTGGGTTCATTGCCCACACCACGGTCCAAAATGAAGCCCACTAAAGAGCATCTCCCACAAATGTACACAGGCAGGTTGTGGGAGCTCTAATGTCATCTTTTATTTTTATTTTTTCTTTTATAATAACCTCACTTATTTTTGTTAATATCCAGGGATTTCTATAGGAAAAATATTTTCTTGGGAAAAATTTTCTCAAGGTTCTGAATCAAAAGAGGACCCTTTTCTCCAGGACTCCACAAAACAGCTTAAAAATAATGGATTAGGGTTTCCAGCGTTTGTTTTCATTAGTATAAGGAAAAACTTCCTAAGGATCACACAGTAGTCCTGGACAGCATGTCCGCCTCGGGGTAGAAGGTAGTTAGGACTGAGCAGTTGAGGCCGAGGGAAAGGGGATTCACAAGCCAGAAACAAGTCAGATTAGATCTCTGAGGTCCACCCACCCAACGATGTTCTGCATCTTATCCTTGACGCTCAATGCCAAGTCCCCGTACACAATTAGCAAAGCTTCTGTTGCAAGTAGACAATCAAGTTCTTGCTGCTTTCATGCATGTTTACATGTAAATGCAGAGGAATGCAAAAATAAGTGATGTGGGGGAGATTTTAATCTGGGCCATTTCTCACCTGATATTACTGAATAGCTCTCTGCACCATGAGACTCTGACTAGATGATTGCCGGGCCCTGAAACATTCTGAGACATTCAGTTTGGGGCATAATCTTAACCTTAGGCATATCTTATTTTTGGAAAGTAAATAGTTAGTCATTTTAACAATAGCAGTTCCACAGGGATTAGAATATGTGCTCAGACATGCACATCCCTCCCTGCTAGCAGACTTTGGGAGCAACAGGACTCTGGAGGGAAATCTTTAACTGGCCCAGCTGTGAGGCAGACCAGGGTTCAGGTCTAAGCACTGGCTCTTTCTTGGCCAAGTGGCTTTGAATGAATTTTTTTTTTTTTTTTTTGGTATACTGAGGATTGAACCCAGGGCCCAGGGGCACTTAACCACTGAGCCACATCCCCAGCCCTTTTTAAAATATTCTATTTAGAGACAGAGTCTCACTGAATTGCTTAGGGCCTYGCTTAGTTGCTGAGGCTGGCTTTGAACTGGTTTTGATCCTCCTGCCTCAGCCTCCCGAGCCGCTCGGATGACAGGCATGCACCACTGCACCTGGCGTAGGGCGAGTTATTCCCTCCCCACCCCATGTCTCCAAAGAAACAACAGCATTCGCCCTTCAGGGCTGGGTGAAGCTGAAGAA